CAATATTTTGCATTAGATTGGTTATGACTTATGATACAAAATATGATCTGGGAGGAAAGAACAAGAAAAATCTTTCTTTAAAAATAAAATTGGAAATGTACGAAGAAACGAGAAGAAGAGAACCATTAAGACAATGATTATATCAACATCAACCCTAATAACTATTCTAACATTAACACAATGATTATATCAACATCAACTCTAGCTAATATAAATATTCTACACTGATCAAATGTTACACCCCATGTTTTCGTACGTGAGAGTACGTCGTAAGTCAATTGATGAGAGCTCAGAAATGAGATCATTTTTTTAAAGTTCATAAAGTAAGTTAATCAAGTTACCTTGGAGGTTACAAATCTTTAAGATCATGAATAACAAGAACCAAGAGTGTTGGAAGGCTTAGAAGCTAAACGAATTGAAGAAAATAAGTTTCGTAGAAAGACGACAAGCAGGGAAAGTTATAACATATACTTTTGGGGTGAGACTAGGGTGCTTAAAATGACAATAAGGTTATGTTATGAGTTATTTTAGTCGTATGATAGTCGTGTGTTACGTTTTGGAGTCAAGCAAGTCGTGGAACAAAAGTTGGCAAAGGTCATCACAAGTTACATTCATAAATGTGCTAAAGATTAGGTCACATGTAGCTAAGCGTTTCTCCCAATATACTTTGAATTACGGAATGATCCACATATCAAATTGAATATCTACAAGTCTAGTTTCTAACGCATTAAACCGTTCATCGATATGACTTCGGAGTAGAGAGATATTCGTATTTTTATGAGACTGCGCAAGCAGCTCCCAATGGGACCCACTTAGGCGGTGGTCGACCTACTTCACTTTAAAAATGATTTGGACGCTTATTTTCTGCTCATTTTCAAGTCAACTTCGTCTTCAAACTTCTCCTAACCCTCCTAAACCGGTACCATAAGGGTTTGAAGGGGAATCCAAGTGATTACACCATATTTCATCATCAAAAGTTAGTTCTAGTAAAGAACAACACCTCTTTGAGGTTGTGTTGTCATTGAGGATAGTTGTAGGCTGTGTTTGGGCAAAATTTTAAGTTGTTTCTACTGGTCAAGGTGAGTATAATATCCTATTACATGTGCTTGAAGTTGTTTGTATGTTAGTTGCATTATTTGAGCAAGATACTACTAGAGGAGACTTGAAATAGTTTGAGATGTTATTGTTCTTACTGGACTATTTCGAAAAGGCTATTTCCATGAACTTTAAATGGTTAGAAACCTTGGAAAATGACTTTTTTATGATGTTGTTATTATAAATATATTGTCTACATCTCAAACTTGTTGTTGGTACTGTGAATATGAAGAGAAAGGACAACATAATAATAAAAAGTTGTACTTGTTATTGTTGTTGTTGGATTGTTGGGTTGTTTGAGGGTAAATTAGGAGATGGATAGGAGGTTAGAAGTCCTCCCATTGTACTTAATTTCATGCTAGATATTCTGTTAAGTTAATGAATGAATGACTTTGGGATTAAAGGGTTCAAAAGGGATTCAATCCAAGCTTGCTGCTCGTCGTGATATGTTGATGACTTGTTAATAAAATATTTTATACCCTATTGTTGATGTTGTTCTTATTGTATTGCTCTGGTTGTTGTTTTTGGTTTATGGTATTGGAGGAGTCCCTTGTTACAGGGGAGATTCTATCCAAATTTATATAAACGAGCTACTAGTTTAAGTTGCAGACTTAGCCTTTACTCAACACTGATTTTGAATCTCCTTATGCTATGGTAGGTTGAGTTGAGTTATTTGAAGAATTTCTAGGAAGGTATTAAGGACTTAACAGAGTTAAGGTATTTTAAGGCTATCCTTTCTTTCCTTTTGGCATGATCCATATGATATAACGAAACGAGCAAACACGCAACTTTCACAAATAACTCTATTCTTAGAAGTACTAGGGTTACATATGTTCTTGATTCCCCATGTGTCATATTATTATATCGTCTGTTCATGGGTCTAAGAATATACGTAAGTTGATAAAGTTTATCTGAAGGCATATTGATCTAATGACATCTCGAGAGATCTTATTGACTTACTTCTTATGCATTGCATTCATTTATACATGTACATTGACCCATGACTAGATGGCATTATATACGCATATATTACGTGTACATGGGATATGGGAAAATGTTACAATATTATATACACACCACCACCTGATCAGCTGGTATACGTTGATGATTTCGCCCACAGAGGCCGAGATGATATTATGGGATGCCCTCAGAGGCTTGATAACGTTATGTACGCATATACCTATGCATGATATGACATTTATACGCATATGCATGACATTATACATGTTTCGTGATTCACAAAACTATTCAGACTTACATGTTGAGTTCTTTACTCCATGTTTCTTTTATATCTTTTGTATACTGCTTTGCATGCCTTACATACTCGGTACTTTATTTGTACTGACATTTCTTTTTCCTGGAAATGTCGTGTTTCATGCCCGCAGGTCCCGATAGACAGGTTGACAATTGTCCTAGTAGGCTATCGGCCCAACAGAAGGTGTTGGTGTACTCCACTTGCTCCGAAGTTGCCTATTGGGTCAGTATGATTCAGACATATATTGATTGGTATGGCGGGGTCCTGTCCCAATTTTTATGATGTTTATGTACTCTTAGAGGCTTGTAGACAGATGTCATGGATATGGATGATTGTGTGGCCTTGTCGGCCTATGTTTTGAGTGTACAAATGATCATTTCGGTCTTATAGGCCTATGTGTCACATGTATAAGTTTTTATACCATGTTAGGTCATCCTATGTCGAGTATTCTCTTATGTTTAATTCTGATTATGTCATGATGACCTTTTCGGCTCATTTACCCATGATAGTATGATAAGGAAGATACGTTACATTGGTACTCGGTGGAGTTAGGCATCGGGTTCCCGTCGCGACCCTTCGATTTGGGTCATGACATCAAATATTCTATGTTGATACCAAGACCTTATATTCTCATATTGGTTACAGATTAGGGATTTGGACAGTTTATAAGTACTACTCCAATTTATTTTACGCGATGTTTTTTCATAACAGAACATAACTCCAACTAAGGTTGGGTATATATGGGGTAAAACTGGATAGCTCGAACCGAAAAAAGCTTATTAGGTTATCGGTATCGGATTATTGGATTAACAGTTCGGTAATAGTTTAGTATTTTTTTCACTATTGGGTTATCGGTTCGAGCTTCGATTTACACAATTTAATTAATGGATTAACCAATAACCCAATAAAAATTAAGAAAATTATGGCTTTACCTTTAAGTATATAAATATATCTAGGGCTTCAGACCTTCAGTTCATTCTTGTTTTCTCCGAACTTTTCTCAGTCTCAGTTCGCACTCTTCATTCTTTAAGTCTTCATAGTTTCAATATTTTATNATATATATATGTTAATTAATAAAAGTTACATTTTCCATTACGAGAAGTTGCATTTGTGCCATTAATAAGAGAATTTGGGTTAGAAGACCGAACTATGGCTATACTTGGAATCTGACTATGCAAACCTCAATGATTGAAATTCAGTCACACTATGCTTCTTCCTCTAGATAGAGTTATCTTATTGGGTAAATATTGAGATAAAAAGGAGTAAACTGAGTGCAAGGGTAGTTTAGTCTATTTATGTGTTACCGCATTAGTTAGTTAGTAGCTAATGGAGTGATTGATTGGTTAGTTTGGTGGTTAT